TTGGATATAAAATATATTAATATAGGATGCTGTATTTCCTTATCAACTATAAATATCTAATTTCCTGGCATTTCCCGTGGCATGTGCATATATGCTACTCATTTTGTTTTTTAATGAGATATTAATAATTGCCTTTCAGTAGATTGATCATGCACACCATGCTCATCCTGTCTACTATTTACACAAAGAGCTGTTTCTAAACCCAACTTTGTCTATCTGCTAGGAAGGAAGAATGATCCTCCCTAAATCTTACAGATGGAAAAAATAATCAAATAATAGATTATAATCCGTATTTCTTTAGACATCCTGGAACACATATATGATAGAAATTGTTGTTAATTTGTAACTATAATTCTAGAAAAAGCATATCCTAAATTCCGAACCACCTGTGGAAACAAACAGTGAATATGGTAGTACAAAAAACTTATCTGTGGAACACAGGAATGAGAAAAATTAGAATAAAGTAAAATTTCCAGGATGGTAATTTCACTTTTGAAGAAAGGGAATAAAGTTATATGCAGTATATGCACTCTTCTGAAGAACAAAATATTAGGGTTCTGCGCAAATCTGGCTTTAAATCAACTTTCTACATGTCCTTCTAGCCTGATTTAAGGTCTTACTAAAAGACCTAAGCATCTCTTCAGCAATAACTGATACTTGGGACTATTGAATTGCAATACATTTTACCTTTAGTGTATTATAGCAAGTAGCTATTGGGAATAGTCACAAAGGTAGTAAGTGTTGTAGTGTGAAATATGAAAAAGGCATTCCTCTAATCATAATGACAAAAAAATCTTATTAAATAAGCAACATTTAAATGTAGAAAAATTTCTGCAATGAAATGCTTCCTAATACTCCCTGGACACTGGATCATTGCTGGGCTCATCATCATCACATAAACAACACAATGAACAGGAAACTGAATTACTAGATATGAATAAAATCTAATTTACAAAGGTGCAGTTGATCAGATGTCAGCAATCTTAAGCCAAACTAGTTATCAAGTCCTTTTCTTGTTTTGTTTTAAATCTGAGTTTCCTGAGGATGCACAACTTCTGTAATCATTTCAGTTCAATAGTCTCTAGCAACTTTTAACCCCTGTCGAATTTCAGGCAAATCTAACAGAAGGGCACAGGCCTCTCAACAATTACTGGTTGAATAGAGGAAAAAGACTCGCTAAAAGAAAATCAGAGAAAATTCCGCTTTACTCATCTCATTTGGCAACAGCCAAATGGTCAATCAGCAGGCAGCTAGCTCTGGACTAGTCACCACAGGAGGACAGGACAGCGCTACAGTGCACAGCAGTTGGGAATGAGAAGATGCTGTACGTACGGGGATCATAGGAACTGGATGTACTATGTGGAACTGGGGATACAGAAAGGACCATATTGGAGTATAAATTCCAAAAGAAAATGAAGGGCAGATACCTTTGCACTTTATTAGCTAATGAGTTATATTAACAAGGCCAGACAGTAGACACCTTACTAGCACAGAACAGAGTTAATGTCTGCTTCTGGGATGTGAGCTTCCTTTTTCAGAACTACCTGGAGTATCTTCATACAACATACCTATTTAAACATGGCTGTGTACTTTTCATACAATGACATTGTAAAAAGTGAGGCCAAACTAATTATGCATATACATAATGTCACATTATATCTATATACTGCCATGAAACAACCAAGCCTCAACAATCAAGCTTCATAAAAAATGTTTTAAGCCATGACTTGTCTTTAGATTCTGCTTTATCCTAAAGAACTGAGCCAGATGTATCAAACAACAAAATCAGCAAATGGGGTATTAGGAAAATAATTTCCTTGTAAAATTAGACTCTACACACAATAACTAAAGATCACCTACACACTGCCCAGAGTGCAATCATTAGCACTTGATGTACAAAACATGTCAGTGGAAGGATCTGCCTAGTGTGATGATCTTGAGGCAATCAGAATCTATTCATCCTAAACAAAGGAAAACATGCAGAATCTATTCAGCCTAAACAAGACCAGAGAGAATTAATGAAATAAAACTATACAGAAAATTCTGATGCAACTCAAGGCTGATAACAGTGTCATCAGTAGATGGAAAATTTTCTATCAGATTACTGAAATACATTTATGACCATGAAATTAGGGCCCTCAGCCATGAACCAAGTGGATCCATCAGTGGTAAAACTAACAAGAACTGAGAGATGCTGATTATTGAAAAGCAAAAATCTTCCCATGCAGAACACTGTCTGTCAGCTTACATTAAATAGCTGGTTCATTTATAACTGGCCTCTCTAAAGAAAGGAAATTTGTGGTGATGAAGAAAAAGAAATCAGTATTGTATAAGATGCATTGAAGTAACTGATAAGCAAAATGTATTTGAGGTTTCAGGTTATTCTGCTGAATTCACAACCACTTGCCTACTCCTGAGACATACTACTGTGTTTTGCAAGCAGAATTTTTCAGCTATGTTTCCTATTCCAGAGATTATTATCACCACGTATTTCAGAACTGCAACCAACAGACTGATAAAATTATGCAGTAATGTTTCGTATTCTTCCTCCTAGACTTTTGTTATTTTGGACAACTGTAGCTCTGCTGTTAGTAATTTATTTGAAAGAAAGTCATCTATATTTAGAGTGAGTACAGAGAAAAACACAGTAAATTCATTTAAGCAGATATATTTACAACATCTATTTCTAAGTTTTAAATAGATTTTTAAAGTGTTTCTTTAAGGGGGACAAATCCTGCATACCTTATTCCATATGTATCTCTAATGAACATTGATCTACCAAAGCCAGATAGGTACGATCTTTTAAATAGATAAATAAAGCATATTTCTAAATAAAACAAATAATGAAAGCATCAATCAGATGTGCTTCCCAGCATGTTCTCAAGTAAAGTACTCATGCAGTTAGAGTCAAATTCAAAACTCACAAGTATGGTAATGGAGAAAAGGAAACTAACCAAAAGAAAGTCTGCGGTTTAGCTGAGGCTCAGCCTGTCCCAAGGGTTATACACTTGATATATACAGTTTTGGTTAGCACTTCCCTTGAATTCAATTCTGAATGTGACAAGCCTCAGTAAGTCTCATTTAGCATTCCGTCTAATAAGGAAATTGAAGAGAAATTTAACTGAAAATCATGGCATACAAAGAAAAGAGAAGAAAAATAAACAATGAAGTTATTTCTATTAGTGCAATACTCATGTATTATTGTAATAGTTCATGATGCTAAGATGGCCTGATTTTAGATCTTCTATACTTTTGTTCTGTATTACTGACATATAGCTACCGTTCTTTTGCAAAGCGTTTAAATTATACTTGTTGAAAAGGAGTAAAAAAGCAATGTTACAGTCATAACTGTGGTATAGGAATCCTGTTATAGGAAAGATAAAGGAAATGTTTGTACTCTACAAGACTTTTCCTAGGATTAATATTTTCTGTTAAAAATTATAAATGTTAAAATACATTTTTTTATTTTGCTTTGTTAAATAATGAATTTTCATTAAATGTAAAATAATTTTTGTAGTTTTCAATGTTATTTTTTTGCAATTACTAGAATCCCTTAAAATGTATAGAATATAACCTGAACATTTTATATTTCTTCTATTTCTGAAAAAATATTAATACAGATAAAGAAATATATGTGCCAACGTACAGTTCTGCCTGCCAGTCAGTTTAATGTTCAAAATAAAAGAGGTCAATTCTTGAAACCTCATATGTAGGGATCCATTTGGCTCTGAGTTTTCAGGAAACTTAGGACATTTTGGGTACTTCAACTATCTTAGATGTTATATCTGTTCAAAGATATGCCTTACCTTTTGCCTTTCCAATAGTTAAGAAGTATTAAGTGATGGATGCAATGACAATTCTGTGGAACATAAAACCAAATATATTTTATTTAAGGCTGTGTTTCAAAGGCTTTATGTTTTTATGTATTTGTGAGGCACAGAAAAAATATTCGTTTCTACAACACTTTTAATGAGCCTTCTTAATGCTTGACCAGATTTTACATAATGTGTATTGCCAGAGAGCTTTGTTTTTCCCTGGAGCTTTGTGATCTCTATTATTGTTTATAAATCTTCTCATTCAAACAGTTTAATGCATTTCCCAGTACCTACAGCTACCAGTCCATTATGTTCTACAAGGACTCACACAATGTCTGAGTCCAGATTACAATATTCTTATTGGCCTTGAGCCAATCCGCAAAGGAAAGCAGGTTTAGTTATGCAGTTACATTCCAGAAGACTTTTAAATAAATTGTCAACTGAATTCAGAATTCCTACAAGACTCCAGCTGCTGTGTCAGATCAATGTGTGCCTAATGAGCTGGATAGAAATGAACTTCGTATTAGTGGTCATAGTAAGATATTCTAAGGGTATTGTAGAATATACTTTTCATATATGCATGTGAGAATATTCAGTTTGACATCACCATCAACAATTCCTTTAACTAGGATAAAGGCAGACTCCACCGTAGCTCAACAACAGTGAGAAACAGCTTAGGTTTTGACAAGCTGTAATGTAAAAAGTGATCTTAAAAGTTCACATGGGTATAGAGAAAGAAACAGAAGAAAAAAAAATGATAGATGTGTACGGAAGCAGCCAAAAGCATGCTGGATTTAATCTTTTAATGTGTTACCTTTTGTTGTCGTCTACCATGGGAACAACGTAATTCACTTGTGGGATCAAAATCACACAGTTATTGAAATATACATTCAAAAACGACTGGAGAATAACCCACATATGCCAAGAGTATTCCTTTGTCACCCATCTCACTCTTACTCAGTGTTTAATTGAAGAAAACTTCACTGTTTTCAATATTTTACCTATGCCATCTCTGTGCTTCATCTGAAAACACTGGAAAACTGAAAAATATTGGTGAATCCAAACACTTCCCAAGGTGCCTTCTCCCCATGAATCTGAATACTAATTGGATTTCACTAATAGCTTCTTATTTCACTGAAAATCAACATGATTTTCAAATCAGTTATATGCTGAAATTGTACGTACTCTGAGGAAACCTGGGTGGGTTGTCGTTGACATCAGTGAGTGTGATATTTACAGTTGTTGACCCTGACAGCCCTCCGACCTGCCCAGCCATATCTTTGGCTTGAATGACAACGGAATAATGCTCTCTAGCTTCCCTGTCCATGTTGTGCAAGGCAGTCCTGATGACTCCTGTGATGGAAAGAAAACAAACAAACAAAAGAAAGATCAGGGTTAGCTTGTTTGAGCAAGCGGAAAGGCTGGGCATAACCTTTCTTTTCAGGAAAGGTGGAGCATGGCAGATTTTCTGGAAATGCAAAGCTTTTCTGCAATCAAAGTAAGTTGGCTTTAGTTGTTTGTGTCATATATATAAATACAAATATGAATATGAATATATAAAACAATCAACTTGCTTGAGGATATGAAGAAATTAAGATTATATATATGAAAACCACTATTATATTAATAAATAATCCATTCAACTCATATAACATTCCTAGCCAAAAGGTACGTTGCCAGAACTGCAGCGGTTTCTCATATATTGTAATTGTTTAAATAGCTACTTAACAGAAATATTAATGAATGGGAACTCTTAATCACAGAACAAGATACAAATTCTTTTTTTAAAAAAAGTTAATCTCTGAATTAAAATATGACATACCTTTTAAAACTACCCAAAAGCTAAACTTTCTTATTTGACAAATCTCAAAAAACTATACTTTCTTATTTGATACATGTCAGTCATCTACACTTATGTTCATAAGTGTGACTTACCTAATACTTGCCTGTAAAGTGAAAGATAAGATTATTGTTTTTACTACAGTACAGAGAGAAAACCAAAATTGAGTGATACTAAAATTCTATTTATTTTTATCCATCACTATCAGAAATTTTTTTAACATTTAGTCAATTACACATGTAGAAGCAAAGATTACAACAAAGGAGGACCAATCAGCTCTGTGGGCTCAGTTTCAGTTATGGGACATTTTTCACTTACGATGATGCCTGTAAATTAGGCCCTGCTAATTTCTTTGATCACAGGCTGACAGAAACCTCATGGAGTTCAATAAAGGGAAATGTCAAGGCCTGTGCCAGGGAACCAGTACATGCTGTGGACAGACTAACTGGGAAGTAGCTTTTCAGAAAAGGGGGTCCTCAAGTTGGGCATAAGCCAGCAACGTGCCCTTGCAGAAAACAAGGCCAACAACATCCCAGGGTCCATTATGAAAAGTGTTGCCAGCAGGTCAAAGGAGGGGATCCTTCTCCTCTGCTCACCACTGGTGAGGCCACACCTGGAATGCTGGGTCCAGTTCTGGGCTCACCAGTACATAAAAGACATTGATAGACTGGAGTGAGTTACACAGAAATAAGTAAAGAAATATATGAAATGCTAAATTTATTAACATTAAATTTTAAACCCCATAAATTTTTAGCCTAACTTGGACTCTTAAACTGACTGGCTGTTATAACTAGTAAGAAAATATACCATAGCATGATCAGATGTTGCTTCTGGGTAAATTTTAAACATATAATAGCCATTAACACAAAGCAACTTAAGAAGAAGAGCCTTGCTCTTCTAGACAACCTGCTGTACAGCATGATTCTCAAGGTTTTTGATTCCCACAGTCTCAGATGATGCAAAAAGTGATTTCCAGAACACTGCTTTTCTTGTACTTTAAAATTACTTTATTTGTATTTCTTCAGTAAAACCATTTAGCTATTATTACATAAGAAATGGAAATTTTCCTGTAGCTTATACAATTGTTTCCATTCTATTCTGAAAACAAATCACACATAAATAAGTAGAACTATTTTAAAGTATCCATGAAGATTCAGAATGATTTTAACACAGTTTTGCACTGTAAGTTCCTTTTCATCAGAAGCATACATTCTGGACAGGCTGGCTAAAAATAGTATACTAGTCTGTTTTAGTTCATCAGTGTTTGTTTTTTTTTTAAATGATACAGTTAGAAACAGATTTTTTTCCACAAATTTCACCATGATATACTGAAATTAACCACAATTTATACATACTATAACAGAAAGGCATGGAGACATTTGGATAAAAGGAACTGATATAACTTAAATATGCAGTTTCATCAAAATCAATATGGTTCACAAAATCTGATACTACTGTTCTGAAAATTCATTTTACTGAATGAATGAAAAATAGGAAGACAGAAAAGTATTAGAATTAAAAATGTCCTGCTTTGACATTTTTCAAATAAATTGCTTCAGTTTTTCACATTGAAACCAAATTTATTGGAATATTTAATGTTTATATATATGCATGGAGGGAATATGGGATTTTTTAAAAAAAACCCTTCCATTTCAATTTGAAACAGACCAAATTTTATGTAGTGGAACATCTGTCTTCTGTACAATCCTCGTAAATACACTAGTCACTTACATATTTAAACTAATTTAAACAAACAGAAATTAATCTGAATTACAATTACTTTCCTCTTCCTTTTTGCCTCAAGGGGTGTGGTACTGAATCAATGCTTGCAGACAGCTAATAAGGATTTGTGGATGACTAATCATTTGATCTCTCCCACTTGCATCAGATTCCTCTTTTCTGAAAACCAAGTAAATGAAAATGGGCAAGTTGTTAATTCTAAAAACTCGTATCCAAAGTTTAGAATAAGAAAACTGGTTTTAAGCTTGGGATATGCTGAAGGACAGGAGATAAGGGAAGATTTAATTCTCTCTCCTTTCTTGGTTGCGTATACATATATATATCCTAAAATTATATCATCGGTATGAGGTATGTAACTACTGTGAGGACCCTAATGCTCTATCCTTGTCACTAGCAGCTCCACCAACTGTTCTGGCAGTACAGCACTAAAATCATACATAATTTCAAATTTCTTTAATGAGCCCAAAAGGTGTAAGAAGAACTTTCTTGGTTGCCTTTTCCAATAAGATAATATGAAATGTTCCAGCAGTTCCTTTTAAAGTAGGAATTTCCCCCGAGTATCTTCAGTACAGTTGGCAGGGGCTCCTATACATCCCACAAGAAGACAGGAAGTTCATATTAAGGAAGACATCTCCCTGTCTAAAATGATGAGGAAAGAAACTGAAAAAGAAAACTGTCATAGGCTTTTTAAATTTAAACACAGCCCTAATTTTGCCTCATATTTGTTAGGCAGCACTGCGACCCTGTTAACAGAGTACTTTTCAGCTATGCTTCCAATATTTATTCATCTATAATAAGAAAGGAAAGCAAGAAAAAAAATGCAAGGTGTAGACATCATTACAGGGACACCCCACTCTGTTTCTGGTATTAAACAAAGAATTTTTACAGAAGTTTGACTGCTATGTCAAAAATCATGTACACCATGTAGAGGTTTAGATCTACTGGAATGGAGTTGAGAAGGACTCACAGCTCTGGACCTCTGGCCTCCTGAGTTTAGTTGTACCTATTCCTATCTTAAAATTATGTGAGATGCATTTTCCCACATGGAAGGCTCTCCCAGAAGACACTTTTTCTTCTAACTATTTGTCTAAATTTATGCACCTCTAAATCACACCAATTTTTGCTTTTTTGTCTGATAATTTCTACAGTCTTGGAAAGCACATTTTCCAATTTCAATTTATCTTCCTTGACCATGGATGACCAGAAACCTACTGACATTCCAGATGAGATTTTATCACCATGTTTTCTAATTACAACTTTTTTTTTTTTTTTCCCCAGGTTACATCACACTGGTGATTCATCTATGATTGACTAATATACCCAGGACATACTCCAATGAAACTTCCAAATTAATGAGACCAGAGTTACTGTAGAATCATAGAATATCTCGAGTTGGAAGGGTCCCATAAGGATCATCGAGTCCAACTCCCTGCTCCTCACAGGACTAACTAAACCAAAATAATATGACTGAGAGCATCATCCAGATGGTCTTATAATTAATTCTGCAACATGGCCTTTACTATATAATACTATTACATTTCATTATCTTCTTCTTGCTCTTGCCCTCAAAGACATAAACTTCTTCCTCTGAACTGACAATTCTTCACAGCTTTTTGCAATCAGGAAATTTCTTCAGGATGGTCCTGTATTTATCCTCAAAACATCAGACAAAACTGACTGAGAAGAACATTGAGATGAAAGTCTGATATGTCTACTACTGTGGATAGCTCCTTTTCTTTCCTTTTACCCAATGCCTCTGAATTTGAGAAAGCCCTGAAAATAAGTTTATTTTTGGCAAGTTTTACTTCCTTCTGCATTCAGGCTTTCTGAATTCATTCCTCATACTGAACTGCAGTCAATTCTTCCCCCCCCCCGCCCCCCCCCCCCAAGTTTTAAGATACTTCTATGCTCTGCGGCATCTGACAATGTGTTATGTTGTCTTTTTTAGCATTCTGTGAAGAACCATTTTACTTGCATGTAAAAAGAGCTACAACAGAAGGCTCAACTGTAATTAAAAAGTCTTGATTTTTAGTCTCAGTTAAAGTGCAGACCATTATTAAGAAAATGTCTGCCACAGCCAAATGCCTAACTATGTATTTACCAAAGTAACTATGTACTTACGTGATAGTCTGGTACGCTCGAAGTAATTTATCTTATTACTTATACAAAATAAGAACTTATTTTAGATTCAGTAACCACTGCAGAATTTTAGTCAGCTTTATCTTACAGCCTACTCCTGCATGATGTGTGAATGGAACCTTCCCAGAATAAACCATGGTTCACTGTAACATTTTGAGCTCAAAGGTTTTTTATCTAGTGGGGGCGGGAGGGGGGGAACAACAAACCAACCAATTCCACTTTAATGACAAACTAGTTTGTCATGGGCAAGTTAATTTTTTTTTGACTGGAAAATTTCCGTTCTGTTGTTGGATCATGAGCCTGGTCACTAGAGATTTTATGAAGGGCCAGCAGGTCATACTACATTCCCCATATTCTCGTTTCTTATATATCTGTCTTGTCATGATCACAACCACTAAATGGTTCAAATATAATTTTAAATATCTACTTAATAACTAATTAAATGTGTGATTTTACTAATTACTGAAGGAAGTGAACTGTTGCAGACGGTAATTTCATTAATATTATTTTAACTTTGTGACTAAAAGCTCTATTTTTATTACTGCTTTGCTTTAGGATATGTAGTTAGCTTATTTTATTGTAACTTAATATTCTGAATATACTGTATATACTAAAATACATTTCAAAATCTAAT